CAACCCTAACCCATAAACCCTGAACTCTAACCCCTAAACCCTAAACCCTCAACCCTAACCCCTAAAACCTAACCCATAAACCCTAATCCCTCAACCCTAACCCCTAAACCCTAACCCATAAACCCCGAACCCTAAACCCTAAACCCTCAACCCTAACCCCTAAACCCTAACCCATAAACCCTGAACCCTAACCCCTAAACCCTTCACTGCTTCGGGCTGAAGCTTCTCGCGTCTGGCGAAGGCCGGGGCCTCGGGAGTACGTCGACCTCATGGATCTCCACCTGGCCGCTTGTGGAGCGTCGATAGGGGTTCCTTCTAAAGGGTCCTGAAAGGGTCTGATAATTGTTACTACAAGGGGTACTACGGGGGTTTAATCTAGAGCATGTATTATATGGGAATTCCTGAAAATTCAAGGTACCTTATTTGGGGCTCCTCATAATGAGGATCCTCCTATTTAGGGTGCCATATTTGGATCCCCTATTTTCGGAAACTCCCATATAGAGGTGAGGGTTTAAGTTTAAGGGTTGAGGATTTAGAGTTCTGGGGGGGTGGTTTCAGTGCAGGAGTTTCGCGTCTGAGGTTCAGGATTCAAGGTTTACTTAAAGGATCATGGGACTTAGTAACTAGGGCTCCTTAAAGGGTTCCTAAAAAGGGGTCCATAAGGGCTCTATAAGAGGGGTTTTGGGGTTACTTAAAGGATCATGGGACTTAGTAACTAGGGTTATAATTAGGGTAACTATAGTTGTAACAGTTATAACTACTTATAACCCCAATTAAAGTACTTATAACCTTACTTACTAAGTCCCATGATCCTCCAAGTAGGGCCTGTTCAGCGCACTCAGTTTCTGAGTCCCTGTTAAGGGAACTGAGTTACCCATGGGCTCCATAGTTGTTCCTTTTGGAGGTTCATATTTAGAATCCTATAAGGTAATCCCACGAACTACTATGGAGCCTTTGGGTAAAGATACCATAACCATGAGTTAACGTCATGATTTCCTAGTTATGGCAAGTTGGACTTCGTCTTGGTGGCCCAGAGGTTACTAAGTCCCATGACCCTTTAAGTATGGGCTGGGTGTTTAGTGCTTCGATCTGGGCTCTTTGGATTTGGATTCCCAGGAGGCCCGGCAGCTACTGCTGACCATCTCTGTGCTCCATTCCTACATTATATGTGTCTTGATAATGAGAGGGCATTTTATGCACAGGCACTGTGGGAAGATCAGTACCAACTATTCAAAGCCTTCAGAGCCCTTAGTTTCCATCCCACAGCCTCCTCCAGTCCTTTTACTTCCGATTCGGCCCAGAATCTCTCCTTCACGAAACACCAAGCCCCAAGCGACTGCGCAAACCCGAAGTCCGAATTCCTACATACTGCGCTCTATCCCTAAACCCTAAACTTTAAACCCTAAACCCTATCAACCCTGAACCCTAAACTACACCTCCCTTGCTTGCCAGCATCCCCTGAAGCCCCCAAGAGTCTCCTGAGAGCATTCCGATGCCTTCAGCCGGGTTTCGGGCCAAGGTGCCCTACGAACCCAAAAGGTCCGAAGCCACAAACCCTGAAGTGCTCAAGCCTTGTAGCAGAAACCAAAGCGTATCTAAAACCTATCGGTTACACCCTTTCAAAATCGCACATAAACCCTATCTACATCGTTTCTACTCCCTTTCCAAGCCTACCTAGCTCGCCCGCCCACCCCTCACCCGGCAAAACGGAGGCCTCGCAGCAGCAGGTCTCCGATGCTGCCGGGCAGTGGATGAAAAACGTCATTTCCTCAGTGCGTCTTGGGTGACTCTCGCGGTGAGGGGCGTGTGGCTTCGGATGGAGGTTGCACCAGGGTTCCTCAAAAGGGATCTATAAGGGTTCTATAAAGGGCTTAGGGTTTAGGGGTTTTAGGGTTCAGGGTTTAGGATGGTCTTAGGGTTTAGGGTTTTTGGGGTTTAGGGTTCAGGGCTTTAGGGGTTTATATAGGGTTTAGGGCTTTTGGGGCTTAGTGGTTCAGGGTTTTAGGGTCTTAGGGTTTAGTGTTTAGGGCTTTTGGGGCTTAGGGTAGAGGGTTTTAGGGTCTTAGGGTTTAGGGTTTTTGGGGCTTAGGGTTCAGGGTTTTAGGGTCTTAGGGTTTAGGGCTTTAGGGGTTTAGGGGTTACCTATAGTCTCCACGGTAGTTCCTTTTTGGGGTTACCTTAAAGGATCTCAATTCTGTGTTTGGTTAAACCAAAAGAAGGAACTACAATGGAGACTATAGGTAAGGTGTCAGATATACACTCTGGAGGGATTTCAAATGCTTGAATTTTGGTCTCGCATGATTTGGGGTGCCGCTGATAGAGTCTATACGGGTTCTACAGCCTCTTCGGGCTCAAGACCTTTCGAAGGTTTGGGCACAGCTTCAACGGTTCAGGGCCCACCATTTAGGGTTTTAGGTTTTATGTGTCCCAGAGGCCCTACGCTTTATATAGTTATTACGATTACACTCGTCTAGTAGAGGCAACAGAATCTGGCAGTGGAAACACTACCTCTAGGAAGGCACCTTACCGAAACTCTGCTGCTTCTATGTCATCTAATCTTCAGAGCCCCGATATGCACCGACTTCAACCGCGAGGGCAGAGTGCTTTGCCGTCGGTGCGGCAGCTTTGAGCCTTGCTTCAAAGACATTGCGATCTTAAACCTGCCTCAACCCGGAATGGCCTACCAGTTTAAGGACTATTATAAGGAAGTCATAACAAGGAACCCTGAAAAGCTAGGTGCTTCAGGGCTAAGGTGGCCCTTCAGGGGAAGTCCCATCCCGGACATCCGAGATTCTGTGATCATTACGTTCACATAGCTGGTCTTTGTAACGCTGCGAAGCGCTTGAGCATAGTGCCCTGAGCAGGTGCAGCTACGGGATACATAAAGTGATACTATGAAGAATTACATGATTCAAAGTCTGCGATACGATATGTGTGCAGCTGCGCATGGTATGCATGTGTGATCACAAAAACTATCTTGCATTTAATCCACTGTGGTGGGCGACATAAGCCCGATTGAAGTTGGTCGCTGGACCTGCGACATGCCGACAGCTGACGCACAAGTGGTCATTGTGATGAGCAGACCTCTTCTTCACCCTCAGGCCCGCAACGATCTTCACTCAGTGTTGACGAGGAGACCCGCAAAAAAAAAGGCCAAAGGGTACTACTGGATATTGGTTATAAAGGCTGTCTGTTCCTCCCCGAAAATTTCGTCCCTACACTGCCTGATTGGAGATGAACAGCGAAAGCAACAGCATCGGCTCCGGGGAAAAGCTCCGCCACCTCCGAAGGGTGGGGCTCGGGGCTGAAAGGGCTCAGCGCTTAAGGCTTAAGCGGTTTAGGGTTTCGGTGGGGTTCGGGGGCTTCGAACTTAAGGGGTGTAGGGGCTCAGGGCTCAAAGGGTTTACGTTGCATTTCAGGGCCAAGGGATGAAGGGTCGGTGGTTTCGGATTTAAGGATATAAGGCTTAGCACTTACAGGGAACTCCAGAAAGTTGGAATATGGATTAATGGTAGGATCCCCTATAATTTACCTTAAAGGGGTTACGATAATGATATTCCAACTTTCTGGCTTCTACTGTAAAGGTGTTTAGGGGTTCGGGGCCAAGGGTTGAAGGGGTAGCGGTTTAAGAGCTAGGGGTTAAGGGTTTAGGGTAGAAGGGTCGAGGGTTGAAGGGTTAATGCCTTAAGTTTAAGGGTTTGGGGCTTAGGGTTGAAAGGGTTCAGGGCTTAAGGGTTGAAGGTCGTAGGTGTAGGATTTAGCGGCTCAGAGGGTTCAGCTTATGGGGCTTGGGGCCTGGAGTCATGGCCACTAGGCTTCACGGCAATGCCTGAGGCCCAGAACCCTAGCCTGAACCCTACATCCAGAAGAGGTGTCAGTGTAGGTGCAGGGTTTAGTTGAAAGGTGTATCTATCTTTTCCTGAGAGTTTACATGCAGCTGTTGGGTTTATGATTGCCGCCTGCCAAAGGCCACTGTTCGGATCATCCAGGCTGGACCAACCTGGGAAGCTCATGTGAGGCTGCAGGACCCTAAAACCACCAACCCCCAACTCGCTCAGGGCCGAAACCCCAAACCCTAAAACAGTTGAACCCTAAACGGGTGTTCCGGCGGACTGGTGAAGGGGAGCAGGGGGATCCCACTTCTTCAAAACACGACACGGGCAGCGGGAAATGAGAAGAACCGAGATCTCATACTGCCCGCGTACAGAATCCTGCCTACCAGCCTAAACTTGGCGACTTGCATGCTAGGAGGGGTAATGCCTTGAGTGCCCTGAGCCAACATAAGAAGAACTCAATGACAATAGTATCCTCCTGACTACTTAACACATGGGCCTTGATGATTCGTTTTGGGTCATATACTACCGTAATTGTAACCCTAGTCAGGACGGCAAGGTGATATTAGTTCGACGCCCCCCTGTTTAAGTGAGCAATTCGGGATTCTGCCCATCAACTGACGCGGCGCCCAACTTCGTCCGTCCGTTTATGCATGCTGCGAAACCCAATAGACCGATTGTTCCAGAGGATGAGACATTGTAGGGCTTAGGTCGATGGGTTGTAGGGTTAAGGGTTGAGGGGCTCAGGGCCAAGGGCAACTCAAAGACTGTCGTCCAACAACGTGGCCCAGACAGCAGACAAGGGCATCGGGATGCAGTGCACTCTAGAATTAGTTATGTAGGCTCTCAGATTGACTGAAAACAGACGGAAATCTTGTGGAATGCACAATTTTTGCCACATTGTAGGGATTGTCCGTAATTGACGATGCTTCGCAGTAGCGGGTCTGTGCCCAATGACTTCTATCTGTTGCAAAAAACTGCATCCGTACGATTTGACTTGACGCCACGACTTGTTGAACTCCGCAACACAAGCCTCTTGGTATGGAGTGCTGGAGACTTTACTGCGTAAGGGCTGTCGGTCAAACAGCGATGCCTTGTCCAAAGGAGCTAAGGATGGTGAATGCCGCTAGCTACTTCGATCTGCGTCATAGGTCCCAGGTAAATCCTCTAGCAGGTCGGCAAAATGCCTTCAATGTGAAAGAAGCCTTTGAACACGCCATCCATGATTGCGAGCTTGAAATATCTCGCTGGCGAAGGAGAGTAACATACAACATAGTCGTCCTCGAGCGACTGGTTCTGAAACCTTTCCTCAGGGTCCGAACCGAGAAGAACGTGCCACTGCAAGCCGTCACACGAGCAAGAGATCTGGAATCTGGCCTCGCAATCATTGAAGAGCTCCAGTCCCACGACATGTGCTGTGGCATGGGGCAACATCCAGGTCAATGCCTGGCCCGCACCGAGTCGCAGGCCTTTTCTGTGGCTAGCAAGCTTGTTGAGCATGTCAATGTCCTGCTGGTACTCTTGGAACAGACTCGGTGAACTTGGCTGTAAGTTCACCCAATATCCTAGAAAAGGGCCTGCTCCCTCAGAATTCACAAGGGCCTCATATCGCTCCCAGAGGCTTTCCAGGACATTACTGGAATATTCTCCGTTTGCGGGCAGGCCATTTCGAAGCTCAACACCTGTTCTTTGAACGTGCTCTTTCAGGCGACACATGAACTCCTCAATGTCAAGGCCTGTGGCGGACGCCCAGCGGCGCAGTAAGGGCCACATTTGCGTGGCGCTGCTGCACAAAAAGGGCGAGCTCAAGACTTCCAGCATCAGCTGCGGTTCCAACATGTCATGACTTTCGTGCAACGATTCTTCGGGAAAGGCCAGAATCTGCGCCAGAGCAATTCCCCGAAACTCTGCAATCTGAAGGCTGTGAGCGGCTTTGAAAGTCAAGCAGGCATTCTGAGGCGCAATGTTTGCTTTGGCCTCTCTCTGCAGATGTTCTTTAGCAGCGGCACTTGGTTACTTGTCTGCTAGCATCATGACTCGCATTAGCGTCACGACATCGTCAAGAGGAATCTGCCCGGAGTATAGAAACCGCAAGAATGCCTCCACGGCTGTGGCAGTCGAGTCTGCGATCACGACCCGACGCTATGCACCTTCACTGTAACTGCCGTTCATCATGGCATCAAAGACACAAGACCACTGGCAAAGAAGCACGGACCACACCTTGTACTCCGTGCAAAGCACTTCACCTTCGCCATCTCCCGATTCGGCAGGCTCCTGAACCGCTATGACGAAGTCGCCACCCTTGCCGAAGCAGTCACCTCAGGTCCACGGTTTAGCATTTGGGAAAATTCAGGGCTGATCCTTCTTGGGCATCGCAATTTCAGGGTGTAGCAAGCGAACTGTTCGCACATGGTGGCGTAGCCAACGTGAGCCCGAACTAAAAGAATCCAGTCGAACATCTGCCTGGACAAGCAGGATGCGCCTTTCGCATCAATTCCTGGACATTACAGCTTCAATTAACTAGAAAGATGAATGCCAAAACTCACTCCAGGCGAGTCCAAATCACTAAGCCGACGTGCACGGATTCTTCGTTCCCGAAAGCAACCTGCTTCAACCATTTTAGAATGGAAAAGAGTTTGGCAACCCCCCCCCCTCCAAAAAAAAAAACGTGATGAACATGCTTAATACGCGCAAGTACCACATAGCAAGCAGGCAGCATGCTTACCAAACTTGTCTGCTTAGTCGAGTTACGCCATGCTTTGACCAAAGCTTCCTGGGCTCCCCATCTTTGGAGCAAGTCGTAATCCATCGCAGGTGCCAGAGACTTCACTACAGAGTCCTGCAGCAGAGTCTTGGGCCAAACCCTCCGGTCACACTTGCAGTGGTGATCAACCTGACTCAAGGAAGTCGCAACAGCTAGGACCTGGACAGTAGGGGTCCAGCCCACGAAGCCGGTCTCTCCCAAATTTGAGTTGCATTGGCTTGACACGCAAATGCTGTTCCAGTTCAACGGTTATTTTTTCGAGCTTAGGGTTTAGCATTCAGGGTTCTGAGCCATGCTTCCGAATCCCTGCATGAGTACCACAGTGCATAGAGTAATGATAATCGCCCGCCGCCGACAAAACCGGCGGCCAACCACCGACGACAGTGTTGTATGTACATTCCGCACTTCGACTGCAACCGTGCTGGCCAGCCCCCTGATTGCGTCTAGCAAAGTTGGTCTTATGTCGTTCGAGGCTTCGTGGTGTAGAGAAATCCCATGCCTGAAGCAGTCAAGCCCAGCCGCTATCCACAAGGTTCATGGCGCGAGCAGCACGCTCCTGGTTCAGGGCTGCAGGGTTCCAGTAGCTTTGGGGATTTGTGGAGTCCAGGGAGATTAGATCTGGTGATGGGCCTGGAATCTGGGGTTTCGCGCGAGGGCTGACTGCTTGGGCTGACTGCTTGTGCTGATTGCTTGGGGGCTCGGCATCGGAGGCTGATTCAGGGTCCTACTCTTCAGTGCTCATGCTGCTTCTAAAAGGGGGCTTGCTTTGTGCTTCACGTGGAAAATGCCGGAGGCGCAACAGAGGAAAGGGGCTGCCACCTTCTGATCCTTGTATGTGAAAACACACATGTTATGCAAAATTGAAAGCCGCACAAGGTCTCCTATAACAACCCTGTATCCTAGCAGGAAGACCCACAAGAGCGGCGATTGCAAGCAGCCTTGTCGCCATTCATGTAGTGGCCAAGGACAGCCACCAGGTTAGACCTCATCACCGAAGCTGGGGAAATCTACCCTCAGACAGCTTCATGTGACGGGTTTAGGGGCTTAGGGGTTTAGGGTTTAAGGTAGGATCCAGAATGGACAGCACACGGCACCTTTGTACAGAGAACCCGGCTTCAAACGACCTAAGGAGAGCCTCATGCCTGGTGGGTGCTCACAAAGCCAAGACAGAGTGCGCAGGGTTCCTGTCAGAGTTCTTGAAAGGTTCTTGTCAGGATTCCATGATGCAGGCCACTTCATAGTTAAAGTAGGGTTGCTGGGTATACCATATATGCTTGCATTAACACACCCTAAGCAATACTAAGAGCCCGCATAGTAACCCAAAGGCCCAAAGGTTACAAGCCGTGCAGACCAGCCACCTTAAACCCCGAACCTTAAAGTCACCGAAGGCTAAACCGCAGCCCGAAGGCCCCGGAACAAGCTCCGCAACTCGGGTGATTGCGCCATCCTCCGCCGCTAGCATAGGGATGAGAGCTGGTTTGTGGTTGAAGTCTGAAGGCTATGGGGTTGCAGTTCTACCTGGCACGCCGTAATTCCTCAACCATGGCTGGCTGAGTCTGAGGGGGCTTCAAAAGCTTGCAGACAGACTACTTAGGGAATCTTCTACGAGTCCACGGGTCTCTGCAGCATTACCATGCTTTAACCAATGTACATGCACCCTAAACGATAAACGCTAAACTCTAAACCGTTTACAGTGTGCAAGTTAGGGTGCCGGTCATGGGGACAACGGATCTCACACAAGTGGAGCTTTTCTCGTGGATCCTCGAAAACCCAAACTATAAAGGTTCCTATAGGGGGTACTATACTAGGTAGCGCTACGAAGGGTGCTATAAGGGATACTATAAGAGCTACATTTATTATGCTAGTTCATGCTTGATGAAGAAATTGACATGTCAAAAGTCGGTACTGCAATGATCACTACACAGCAAGAGCTTGTAGCGGCTTCAAGCGGATTCACACAGTCGTTCACAACCGAGGCTGAAAATTTTGGACGTGAAGCTGGTCATGCAGAATCCGAGACCCCAAACTACCCTCAAGGCACAGCTTCCACCCAAGTTTCCCAAACCCAAACCCTTCTGGCTCCAAGCCTGAGCCCCAAACTCCAAAATCCTCGAGCCCAACCTACGGCCTCAAAACTCAAAATCCAAAATCCCAAACCCCTAAACCCTCAACCCCAAACCCCCCAACTCTAAACCCTAAACCTCCTAACTCCAAAATAGCAGGCGCACGGTCCTTGCTCAGGAGCTTTGCAAGAGAGTAGCCTCGGGCCCTTTCGGCTGCCAAGTCTTCGCCGTGGTACCTCAGCACAGCTCAGAGCTTCGGAGTTTAGGGCATAGGGTTTAGGGCTTAACGGGCTTAAGGTTTAGGGAGCAGGGCTTCGGGTTATTTTCGGCTGTAGGGTTTAGGCTTGAGGGTGTAGGGTTCAAGGGTTTGGGGTTTAGGGGTTAGGGCCGAATGGTTAGGGCTTAAGTCTATAGGGTCCGTAGGTTCTCGCGTTTAGGGTTTAGGGTCTAGGGGTTCAATATTTAGTGTTCAGAGGTTTGGGGATTTAGGGGCATTAGGTACAGGTCCTTGCCATGCGGACTAGGAAGTTCCAGCTCAAAGCTCAGGGCGTTGGGGTATCTTCGGCGTTTGTTGTACTTTTGGGGCCTTCATAATTAGAAAATGGCTTGGGTGTACACTAACCCACAATGAAAAAATAGTGTAGGCAATTATTTAGGCCTGTATAGTGGTTCTTGCCGTCACTATGCATGAGATGCTGTTTGGAGGAAGGGCAAGTTTTTGCCGCGGACAGGCCCAACTTCTCGCGTCTCGCGATTTCTCGGAGTGCCTAGGCCGAAAAAGGTGAGAGCAGTGACAGGTATGATTCACATGATTCACATGATGGATTCCTGCACTTTCGGCAGCAACTCAAAGACGGGACACACAAAAGGGCGTCCGCATCCCTGAGCACATGCAGAGAACACAGAGAAAAAACAGAGCGCTCATCCCAGCTCACGGATCACTTAGCCTCGATTTTGGAGGCCGTCAAGAAAGCCTGGGTTGTTCTCTAAGGGCCCACAAGTTTTGCAGGTGCTCTGTAAAACCCACAAGGGAGAATTCCAAACTGCACTCAACTGCCCCTAATTCCAAAACCCTAGAAACTAGAAACCCTAAACAGTAAACCCTGTAAGCTCTGCAAACCCTGTAAGGCCCTATAAGCATATATCAGCCAAAAAGGCCCCCATATAAAACCCTGGCCCTTGCGGCAGCCTAGAGGCTTCAAGTGTGGTGATGCCCATTCCCTGGGGAGCTCTTGTCTTGGCCAAGTCCTTGCCAGTCATCTTCCCGTCCACCATGATCTCCAAGCCAATGCACTCCTGGCCCCACAATGCTTTTGGGGCATACTATGTATGTATGTGTATATATATATGTCTATAAAGCTATACATATATATATATATATATATACATATATATATATATGTATATATACATACATCTATACAATGTTAAACTCTGAGCGCCTTGGTGTGGATTATCCCGCAATTATGGCACGAACCCCGATGCTCTTCCGGCGAATACACTCCTGGACGGTTGCAGGGTTGAAACCTAGGGTTTATACAGTAGAAGCCAGAAAGTTGGAACATCATAATCCTCATGCCCTTAAGGTAAAGTATAAGGGATCCTAACACTAATCCTCCTGAAGCCATGTTCCAACTTTCTGGCTTCTACTGTATAGGATTGCCCAAACCTGCATACTAAATCCTGCACCCGAAACCCTCAGGAACCAACCCTGAAATCGAGCCCTCCGGCCCCACAACTGGGAGTTTCCGAAAATAGGGGTTCCTGATTTTGGGGTCCTCATAAGAGGGATCCTATTATTTAGGGTACCATTTTAGGGTCCCCTATTTTCGGAAACTCCCAGTTGTAGAGGAGACGTACCAATTAGAATAGCACTTTGGGGTGTAGTGTGCCAGAAACATGATACGAACCCTACGGAATAATGGCTGAGCAAGAAACCGCAAAACCCTGACCATGAATTTCCTAAACCCTGCAAAACCCTCAAACTCTAAACCCACAAAATCCTACGCTCC